TGGGTATCAACTTGCACGTGGAATGTACGAATGTAGTAGCTTCCAGATTCAATATCATCTCTCGACAAGAACGAATACCGTGACTAGTAGGCCTTCTGATGAAGAACTACGAGCACCCAGGTGCCAGGCATGAAATAATATTTTTTTTGTAGTAGTAATGCTCTTCTTGTCCTTACAGCTATCACCTTTCAAAACCAACATCATGTTCTTAACAAGGAAAGGGCAACAAGATGAGCTAGTACTCGTACTCAATCGYCAATCTGTATTGGACAATAATGGACAATATTGTACTACAAGCATTATATTTCTAATATTCCTAACCGTCTGTGCGGTTACATAAAAAACTGTTGCATGGCAGTGATCAAAATTCTGCCATTGTGCTCGTGAGCTTGGTGTCAGTGCCGGAATCCCTTGGAACGGGCTTCTGTCTCTCCGCTCGATTGGTTTTCGGYTGATGCTGGATRACTTGCCTATCCTGAGACGGCCCACGCTGACCGTTCTTCGTCGGATCTCGACTCTTGTTCTTCTGATCGAAACTGGATTGACTGTTGCTTCTCTTGTGGCTGCTCCGTTTGCTTAGCTTCAAATTCATTCGCTCCAAGATGGTATCAAGGCTGCTTCTCGTCCCCCTCATCGAGTTGCTCGCTTTACCGGCGGCTGCCGCAACKTCTTCGTCTTCTGTAAAGATTACAGAAAGCCCTGATGTGTCGATAAAATCGAGAAATGACGATGCATCCGTCATGCTATGATTCACCAAATTGTTTTCGGCCCTACGTGTGGGCTGTATTGGGGCGTCGGCGGTTCCCAATGTATTTGCTGTGGACAAAAATGTAGAGAGTCTCTCGGGATCCGTCAGAAACTGAATGGTATTCTTCAGATCTTCCGTAATGTGCTTCGCGACCAAATCCGAATACAGAACATTTTCGTTCTGCATCACTTTTTGAAAGGTTTCCGCAAGGGCGCTCGAGACCTGTTTTCTCTTCGATACAATGTCGCTGATGAGAGATGCCAGTATGCGCTTGTCGCTGTTCATTGTGTGGTGGACGTATTTGTCGAGGGCACCCGCACCAATCGGTTCCCTGCTCTCTGATTGCTTGGGAGCCCTGTCGTTCGTAGCAGCACCGGCGGCACCAGGAGCGGCCACCGACTTGCAGCCACGGTCAAGGAYACCGGTAAAACGGTTGCTCACCGAGAGAATTTGGGTCATGCACGAAATGACCAACACTCTGGTGGCCCGCATCGATGACGAGCGACGTCTCGCACCCATCAGAACGTCGTGGAGTTGCTTGCTCTGGGAGTCGACCTCGTTGATGARGGAGAGCGCCATTGTTTGCAACTCGGGGCTCAAAAAGCCGTTTTCTCTCAAGAGCTCGAAAACATATCGATTGTTGCTAACWAGAGTGTCGGCAAGAAGAAGCACTGTGTTGTCGATCTTGGTGTCCGGAGAGCGCAGCAACTGGTCAACAAGTTTGTTCTCGACCAGCTGTTTGTTGATGTTGTTATTGGTTTTGGTCGAGGATTCAATGGTCGAACCTGTGCTCTTTTCCCGAAAAGTTCGGCGTGCCTCTGCCTCGATCTGATCGAGTTCGTCGCCGTYCCTCGCCTCGCCCAGCCCTCCCCTCGCTGCTTTTCCCTCGGAATCSCGCCCCTCGAAGGCTCTTTTGCTCCGACCGGGAAGAATCGCTGCTCTGGCCCGCGGTGGCAATCGCTGGGCCGCGGGCGGTTGTCTTCCTTGTTTTTGCGGTTCGACGCCCCTAGACGATTCCACSGAGGMAAGGAATTCGATCATGGTGCTCACGTACTTGGATTGTTTCTTCGGTTGTGTCCCTCTGCGATGGTCTTTGCTTCTCGTGGGGCCGTTCTCTTTCCTGTCCGGAAGGTTGCTCCCGCTTGATTGGTATCTTGCCTGTGCCGCCTTGGCTTTCTCTTYGAGAAGCGTAGATTCCATGGCTTCGTCGCGGAACACTTTTGTCCTGATGCTGTATTTGTCTCTCATGGCTCGTTTCTTTGTATTGGTTCTAGGGTACCGGGGTTTGTGGATCGCACGATCGATCAATTTACCGGAATTTTATGAACCAAGCGCTCTGATTGCACCTTTTGTTTGGCTCGTGAAACAGCCCAGCAGTATTTTAAAAAAAAAGTTCCGAAGCAATTGTTATTTTATGCATAACATTGGGAAGAACGAGATTTCTATCCGATTCGCTTAATCTCAGAGGCTCGTAAGTATCCTTGAGGTCAACGCCGCAATCCCACATGAAACCTTATCACCGACAAAACCGAAAGATGATACAAATCTATGTATTCTAAAATATTTGAAACCACACSCAGCTTCAACGGCTGTACATGTGGTCGCGGATCGCCCAACATAAATCTGTCCTATCAATGTTTGGTCGCAATTTCGCTAAATTTTTTGATATATTATGCGCGAAGGGAGCGGGTTCAGATGAAATAGCCGCGGTCCGCTTCATTACGGTTTTGGGCGACCGGGAAAATTCCCTAACGTTCTTATACTTTCCCGGAGCTTTGGAGTAGAGGAAACTAAGCTACATTGCCACCACAAAGTGRGCACAATATTCAATCGAGGCACAAGCGGAAGCGAGTCTCGACGCAGCTCATACTTTATAATACATCTCCTTCGATACGGAAAACACWAATGGTACGTCGATCATGACGAAGATTTCGTATCTAGAACGACAGAGGGAAGTCGACCCGTTTTACAGAGTGGTGAATGCTGCTGAGTACATCACCGGCTCCGCGAAAACGCGGTTTTCACAGACGGTGGAAGAAACTAAGAGAGGAGAGGACCCAGAAGGAAGAGATGACAGTATCTACAAGACGCTGCTGTCAAAGAACTCTTCCGGGGATCTCGATTTCAATCCGAGGATGGTTCACATAATGGACCATTTCGAATCCGACTGCCGCGACGACTCGGAACGAGACGTAGATGTCCCCACTTCTACCACTCCTTTGGAACCCCCTGCTGCCGCCGCACCAGAGGAGGTGTACACCGGAATGTCGAAAGAGTACAAGGGAATCTTGAAGAAGGACGAACCAGAACAAGACGAACAAGAAACTTCCCCAGARAATGAAACAAATCAAAGCGAGGAYKTTAGCACGAGTGCACCGCAGCGAGAAGCTCCCCCTTCCCCCGAGCCCCCCACTCCGCGCAAGAACGTGTTTCCGAACGCCACCGCTCCAGTCTACAAGCGGCAGAGTTCCAAACCCTGGGAGAAAAAAGGCCAGGTAGCACAACTGGCCAASAGATTCGAACACAACGACGATGCGCAAGAAGACGAAGACGAAGATGGAAAGACGCCTATCCGGCCGCCTCCGAGGTATTCCATWTCGAAGATCCAACAAGCCCAAGCAGGGCCGGTGCCAAAATCGGACGATTTCTACAGCGAGCTGAAGCGATGGCACAAAAACTACTCACTCCGGGACGTGGAGAAGCCAGAACAAATCACCGTCACCTCTCCGGTGCCAGCGACGGAACCCAGCGAACCCAGCGAGCAGGAAGAAATCTCCGATACCTACTATCTCCAGCAGAGCAGCAACAGCRTCGAGGCAGGAAAGAAAAAATCCTGGTTTCGAAGAATGAAGCGAAACTCACAGAACGACAGTTCCCACGACGACGAGACCGCGAAGGTTGCAACCACGGAGAAACCAATGAGCAAAAGGTTCCCAAGGAGGGCATCGAAACTCCAAAAGGCGRAAGAGAAGAAACGGAAGAGGTCTTGGTCCCTGAAAAACCTCTTCGGCAAGAAGAACAAGAGCTCAAATTCCGATTCCGAAGACAGCAGCAGTTCTTCCAGGAGCGGAAGCCTCGAAGCAGAAGCCAAGAACGCACAAGCTGCGCCATCGGAACCCCGGCCGGACCCACCGAGCGACGYACCCGAAGCCTACTCAATGCTTGGAATCGCGCGGTCGACCSCAACGAAGAAGCCGATCAAGGACCCCAAGATGCCCTCGTTCGAAGCAAAYCTAAGCAGGTTTCTAAAACTCCAAGAAGACGACCAGAGCACCGCTACAGCTTCGTCAAAAACCGATAAGAAGGCATGTAATGCTACTGTTGCTGTCGCTGCTACTGCTGCAACCGATCGTCGGCTGCAAATGCAACAACTAATGCAGCAGATAGTCGGGGCGAGTAGGTCTGAACTCAACGCAGTAGAAACAAATGCATCCTCGAAAGATGCCAAGGTCGCAGAAAAAGTCAACTCCGACAAGCCCATCGAGCCAACARAAGAGGAAGCAATCGATACTGAATCAGAGAAATGTAAATCTCAGCAGATGCTCGATGATGACGAAAAGAACTCTGCGGTAGAGGTCGATGAAGAAAAATCYGTGATACAACGAAAGGATAGCGAATCGTCGTGGCTAACGAGAGCAACCAAGATGTTGAAGAGGCTGGCAGCTGCGGAAGTCTTGGACAGCAGTGACGCGATCGAAGTGAACGTTGATCTCAAAGGCTTGACCCCAAACCAATCCTTCAATACCACCGATCTAGGGAGTTCATCTCTCGACAAAGATAGCGTATCGGAGGGTGTAGCAATGCCAGAAACAGCCAGGACCTCGAGCCTGTTGGAYCTTGATAGCACGGCATCTCAGTCACAGAGCCTGCAGAGGATGGAGGCGACCGATTCAAAAGGCATAGATGCTAGCTTCACAGAATCGCTTTCTTGTGCTGATTCGAAAAGCAATAGCAAGCCATCGTTACCAACCGAGAGCGAGGCYGACRCCGACTTGAAGAACACTGACACTGCAAATGTTCTTTCTTCTGAATCACATTCGTGTGCCGATTCGAAGAAGATCACGGGCCGATCCAAGGAAGAAACCCGAAAATCGAAGGCTTCGATTGGTTCTCGGGACGATTCTGAGAGCGCGTGGGCGAAAGACGCGAGTCGGAAATTGAAGGTTTCGGTTGCTTCYCTTGAAGATTCTGAAAGCGTGTGGGCGAGCCTTCCATCTGCTAAGGCTGGGAAGCCAGCAGATACGGTTGTTGTAAAAAACAAGAGCAAGAACAAGGACAAAGGAGAGGCTACGACCCCGCTCGCTGGAAAGACGCAGAAAGAGAACCGAAGGGAGACGAAAGAAAGCAAGAGAGAGAAGGCAATGGCCGCATCTCTTTTTGGAAAACTAGACGACAAGGATCGCAAGCAAAAGAAAAAATCGAATCAAGCGGCTACTCTCTTTGGAACCCCGCAGAGAAAGACAAAGGCAACAAAATCAAAGATGGACGCCAAGAACAAAAAGCGAAGAAGACAACGTACTTCTGCATMCCTATTTTGAGCCAATGAAGTGGAAGTAAGCCTTCGAAAATGAGGAAAAMATTCTCTGATACATTTTGGAGCAGGAAGGAAACAATTCAATGGTCAAGTTTATGTGTTTGGGAACTAATGTTTCTTTTGTCACTATTTGTGGTACCACTATTTGTGATAAATAACTCCATATTGTACCATCKTTCGAAGTTGTAGAAAGCTATCCGAAACCAGAAAGAATTCCAGAAGCTGATCTAATATCTAAGATGCATAACAMTTGTCAACTTTTTCAACAACTTCTTCTTATCTTCGTACCCATCCGACGCCTKTAGTTTCGACTTCTATTTCAGAGTTTTCATTCGCATACCAAATGCGTTGCTTCGAATCACAGAGAGTGTTGTGACTCCCATTCACCATACGAGATACGTGAGAATGTAAAGCACAGACTCATGCATGACGGTGCTTATCCTCCTTGTCGCCACGCAGCGGCAACTAAAGGGCCTTAGGCTAATTTCTAACCAATAACATCGGAACGATATTGGCCGAGTCCATAGCGAGACAACTTGGGACTCTCTTGTCGTACTTGCAATCGCATTGGTGKCATTCGCATTTGCGGCAACCTTCGCAATGTCGTCACTGTGGAGATCTTGSAATTCTTGCAAATCGCTGGGAGTGCGATCGAGGAGGAGACAAAAATCAAATGCCGCGCCAACGACAAAAAGAKTTTTTACGACCTCCAGATAGCGGATCGTAGAGAGTAGGCCTTTCTAGTGACACGCACTTCCAGGCATCGAATGGAAGCGGGGATCAAACTATTTCTGAAATCGGAACATCGTGGATTTGTAGAAACAGAAACCTCCGTTTTTTGTCCCCAGTGATCAGAAGGCACAAAGTCCCAGCCATCGAAATGTTTACGAGAGCGGTTCGCAGCAARTATCGGAAACTGCTATAACGACCCCAGATCGGTATCCAAAGCAGCCTTTTGTCTCCGTCGTCTCCGTCGTCTCCGTCCAATGTCAGTTGTCTAATTTTGGGAGAGGAGCTGAATTCTCACTCGTGAATGACGCAGTTTTTACCTTTCAACCTCCTCAGAAAAAAAAGTTCTTTAACTTTAGCTGACTTGTGTTCGATACCCAACCATATGTACGTATCGTAYGATGTGTACTATACTAAGTACGAGTACGTACGGTACGGTATTGGTGATCCATGATCCAGCCTACTTCCTAGTAGTAAATACTTAGATTTTGAGTCACGAGTYATTCGTCGCTCGACATTTTTTTCGTGCGTGGCCAGCACTATTTTTCGAAGCATTGATGTTTATGCTTTGTGTCGTTCGCCAACAAAAAATCTGAACAGTACGAACTGTTTTAATTACAGTAATACGATAGCATCCACGACATCCTAGGAACACATCGTTGACACGAAACCGGAAACCAATAATTCGTGTGCTAGAACACTCTTGCCGACGTGACACCTTCCGTAGMAATTGAGATCAAAGAACGAGCATACTGTGGATAGCAAGTCACAAGTTTCGTTTGAATCCACATACAAACTGTTTCCCTGCCTACCCATCTACCTACTTCAAACAGCTCCAAAGCAAGCGACCGAAASAAACCATTATGCTTTCAGTTTCGTCGCCCTTGCTGCGTCGACCGCAACGAAGTATCCGCAGACGCCACCGAAGTGAGGGGAATGAATGYGGATCTCCGTCATTTTCTCCGCGCCACCTTTTGTTTGTTGGAATATTTCTGGTTTCGGCTTGCTTCTCGACTCCGTGCTCATCGTTCCAGATTGCTCTACAGAGTCAACGCCACCAGCACTGGCGTCAAAAGAAAAACAGGCCAGCGTTCAATGACAAAAATGCCAAGGTTCAAGAAACAAGAACCCCTSCATCATCGATTTTGCGGTCCACGGGTAAAAATGACGAATCCTTCTCCCTCTCCTCTGCGCATAAASATATTGTAAGCGGAGAATCTCTGTCGCAATCGTCAGATGCAAACACCAACCTTTCGTTCGACGACGTCGCCGAGTCTCCGGCCCCGCCGTTGAATTACAAAAAGTATTTAACAATGCAGGTCGGTAGTTCCTAGGTGCCGTTGTTTGTATGCTTGGCATGTAGTATGGAGATTGTCTGATTGCTTCCTACGCGTGCAATTTTTTTGTTTACGCAACTYTCTGACAATACATCGTTTCTTGATTTCAAATCAAAATTCCATTCTCCTCTGACACACAGAAAAAGAGGGTACCAGTAACCATACGGTATTCGGCCGATTCGGGGCTGAAACCGTATTATTTGACCGTCGCCAAGCGTGTAAAGGACCTTTATCCCGACGTCCTCATCGAGCGGATCAAGATCGATGACGGTGGCACCGAAGATGGCGGCGGCGATCCCAAATACAGGGAGACGGGAACTTTCGAGGTTGCGGTGGACGGAAAACTAGTGGTCCGAACACAGCGGAGCTCCCACAAAAGCATCTACGTGAGCATGAGCGAGATGGACGCGGCGATTCTGCGTGCCCGCAAGCGCCGGCGTCCGTCAACGGTGTACGGGGAGAACGGAATCGCTGCCACTCCCGTGAAGGATCAGCTTGTGAAGGCTCGCCTTGAGGCTCTCAAACAAAAGGCCAGGGAGCTCCAGCGCACCAACCGAGAGGATCAAAGCGAGGAGAAGGCCGTGTCGGAATAAATATAGAACACATCAATCGAAAATCAAACTTGTAACAAAACAAGGAATAGTGGTGATTAAAWTAAATAATGACAGCTATCATCAAAAACTTTCATGAAATAACGATAATAGAGCTTTTAGACACTTTTTAGAAGATGTTCTTTCACAAGGCAAGTTTGTTGTCTGCRAACCAAGGAGCAAGTGGTTAGAAACACCTGATTTGTTTTGTACAAGGGTCCCATTGCTCTTTACGACCTAAGATAAAGTGCTGAGATGGTTGAATTGGGGAAACTGTTTGAGTCAAATAAAGTGTTCTCTATCTTATTCTCTATTCCTTGTTCTCGAAATATGAGCTCTCCTCCTAGCTCTAATAATCACGGCCTCTGTCCGGAATTCACTCCTATTGCTCTTTTGGTTCATCATAACACCTAATCTCCTATCTAAAGCTTCAATTGGATCCTCTTCACTTCTCAAGACCTCTTCAACTTCAACACACCATAAGGATCCTATCTGTCACCCAGCTCGCCAGCTCCATCCTGAGCAGCTGTCCTATAGCTTGTTAGATGCTTCCAGCTGTATATCMATCCCTATCAGTATCCTGCATGTGGAACCTTGTTCTTCATTACTTATTCAACACTAATGACACTGAATCAGCTCCTCACGTCGCCCGGCTCTTCAGTACGCCTGGCGGCCATCCCACAATCACTGTTTCAACATAAAGTATTATATSACGATTTAACGGTTGGAAGATTAGAATYTAGATTCGCATCACAAGCATCTGGCGAAATTCTTCTGTCCAAGCATGCGTGCGTCGTCTCCACTGGGAAATCGGTGTGGATAATTTCAGGTATCTCTGCAAATTGTATCGCATCGCATTGAATTTGAGGGTGTCGACACTCACTACAATTCTTACCACAACACTTTGGGTATCGTAGAATCTTTTCCGGAGCACNAAATTGTATCGCATCGCATTGAATTTGAGGGTGTCGACACTCACTACAATTCTTACCACAACACTTTGGGTATCGTAGAATCTTTTCCGGAGCACAGCTCTTGTACTTGCAGTTGTCTCGTACAAAATAAATATCCAATGCGGCGGATTCCGTTGCTATCCAGCCATTCCCATTATCGTTGCAAGCTGCAGCCATATGGACCCCCGAAGTGGCAGCTGCTATCTACCGTCGATGTTCCATTCCCAATTCCCAATAGGAACGAATGCGGCGGCGCGCTATACACAGAAAAGACCTATTCCGATGCCAAGTTTGGTTTCGTTCGATCTTGATCCACGTGCCTCAGAGATCTTCGGACATGCTGGAGACTCCCCGGAGTCATTCCGAGGTACCCGTCGCTGGTGTCCTTGCCCTTGATTTTGTAGCGCAGTGCTTTCTTCTTGAGCAGCATCTTCTTCTCTCTCCGGGCAACATCGGGATCTTTTACTTTTCGAAGGCTTTTTCTGACGTCCTTGCACTCCTGCATCGTCTTATAGAGGCTCTCATCCTTGTAGCCCTTCACGATCGTGGCCTTGACCGGGGGCGACATTATGCCCGCACGCTCTTGTGCCTCTTCCACGTAGTCGCTTTCTTTTGTTATTATTCCATACCTGTGACCGATGCAAGAACAAGAGTAACAGCCGCCCATTTTCAACAATAGGTTGTTCCTCGCACGAACAATTCGCTGTTGAACAGTGGAAATGTATGTATGTAACTATAGACGTCGTCGAATCGAATGGATGCAGCTGATGCTGTAGGATTGGAAGGCTGTCGTTCCCTAGATTGATAATGATCGATAGTGAGAGAGAAAATTTTGAATTCGATGAATTTAAAAATCAAAATCATGATACGAACTGTACGAACGGTATTTTATATTTTACGGTTTAAATTCAATGATGCCCCAGCTTTTCCCGTATGGAAGAAAATCTAGTGTTGGGTAACGTAACGTTCTACATAACAGCATAGTACTAGTATGCACTAATATCAGCCCAGGAACCAAAATCACTGTGAGGGTCACAACTTGGTCAAAAATGGGAGTTAGATCATTATATTTAACATCA